GGGGGGGGCGGCGGGGGGGCCTGCTCCGGCCCCCCCCCGCCGCTGCTGCAGGTGGCTCCTAAGCCCCCCCGGCTCCATCTAATTAGGCGTACGGAGCAAAGGGGACAATAATGCTTCAGCTGCTCTGTGTCATTCTCCCCTCTCGCTGCCTCTGCTTATCTTCACCAGCCTCCCCCTTGCCCCCAGCTAAACACACACACACACATACACACAAAGAGCGCAGACTTTTGAACAGTCACACACACACACACACACACACGGCTCCTCTGGATAACGGTGGGAGCGGACAGGTAGATAAAGCCAAGGCCATTTCATCGTCGGCGTGCAGAGGCCAATGAGAATGTGCTCGCTCATTAGCGGCCGCACCGATACACTTGTAGCGCGCGCCTTCAAGCCGGCGCATCGAAAAGGGAGAGCGCTCGTCCAAAGCAAAGCCCTTCTCCCCTTTCCAACATGGGCAACAATGCTTCTGTGTCCTTGACAAAGCACCCCCCCCCCAACAATCGCTTCACCCTCACTCGTTTTTTTGTTCGAGCGCAGATACAAATGGGATTAATGAAGGCAAAAATGACAGAGGGCTAAATCCTGCTGAGTAATCCATTTGGCAAACACGCCAACGACAATGGCGATGCGGCGGCATGTCTGACGCCGCCCGCCTGCCTCGAAGGCCTCACGCATCAGCAGTCGCCCCTTTTTGGGAGCCGTGCGCGTGCTCCCGGCATGCACTCCACCTGGCAGTGCAGGCGTGGTTCGCTGGAATGCGAATTATTCAACTGGTCACTGCACTGCACTAATTGCTTGCTTTTAGGACTTGACAAGCTCTTCGGGCTGAGCTCCTCTGGCAACATGCCGTTGATTGTCGGTGGTGAGGGACACAAGGGGTCTTTTACCTGCATGAAGAATTTGTCAAGGTATCACCAGAGGCCGCCCCCCCCCAATCACGTGTCGTCAGACCCCGGCGTCAGCGTGGCGGCGAGCCTCCCCCCCCCCACCCCCTTGCGCCCTCCAAATTATTCCCCAGTCACATGCACGGCCCGGTCTTCAGCGACAAATGGAACGTCGCCGATATGATGGCCCAGTATTTGATTTCAGTTTGAAATGTGCAATCAATTTTTAATCTTAAGAGGCCCTCCGAGCAACGCTGCCGACATGAGTTGCCGAAAGCAAAAGCGCTGGGGACGTTTCATTTGGAGCGTTGCCCCTCTCGAGACACTCGGACGATCAGCAAGAGAAAAGGGCGCCATTCGTATGCAAACTGGGAAACGCAAACACTCTGCAATGCTCCGCAACTAATTCCAGACAATTAGTGGCTGACGACAATGGGCCGCAATGTGGGCTCATCAATCGACTCCTCCTCGTGTTGGTTTTGGAGCCGCTAAAAAGGCCTCGCATTAGCATCTCGGCGGGCGAGCAAAACAACACGCGCAATTATCGCCCGCTTTGTGCGGCTCATTCAGCAATTGACACGATTAGATATCCGCGAGTGGCTGTGAAATCACTCAAGAGGCCTTTATGCGGCGACTGCTTTCAGAGAGGTAGAGAGAGAGCGTCGAATCCGCGCGCAATTCCATTTTCTAAATCAGCTCATTAGCCTGATGTGCTCGGCAACGGCGGCGAATGCGCTGAGAAACGCTTCACGGCGGCCCATCACGTCCTGGGAGTGAAGCTCGCCGAGAGATATTGGGCCGCTGGCTGAGACCGTGGTGGGCGTGGAGGGGGGGGGGTTCCAAAGAGCCAGAAAGCCAGGCAGAAAGCGAGGCGGAGAGGAGCCGGCAGGCTGCGAGCCAATTGCTGCGGCGAGGCCGGCGATTGGGCCGCCGCACCAAGCCCCGCCCCCGCGCGCCTTGATATGCGATTTTACTGGCGCCCGCCGCGGCACATCTCGCTCACTAACGACTCCGAGCGGTGCGCGGATCGGGAGGCCGGCGAGTCCGAGCTGCAGTCAGCTGATCGAAACCGCAACAGGTGAGCGAGACGTGCGCGAGAGACATTCGTCGTGCCCTTTTCCGAGCCGGCAGGAAGGAACGCGCCACTCCGGTCCTTTTTTTCTTCATCTTGAAGCGCGCCCGCGCGTCCTCAGTTTATTATCCGAATTTGCGTTTCAATAACAGGACTTCTATTTTGTAGGTAAACAAACAGCAAGGACAACGACTACGAGCGAAAAGGAGAACCCGCGTCGTCCGAGGATTTTTCTTTTTTTTTTTCCCCCTGAATGAAGTAAACACGGCTAAGACTCTGAAAGCGGACGGGGACACCATTTACCAGGAGGAATAAAGTTCCACCGGACGGCCATCCAGCGTCTCAGCCATGGAGGTGGCAGCGGCGGCCGATCAGTCCCGGTGGATGGCGCACCACCACGCCGTGCTCAACGGCCAGCACCCGGACTCGCACCATCACGGCCTGAGCCACAACTACATGGAGCCCATGGCGCCGCTGCTGCCCCAAGACGAAGTGGACATGTTTCTGAACCACTTGGACTCTCAGGGGAGCCCCTACTACAGCAACTCTCGGGCCAGGGTCACGTACGGCCAAGCGCACGGTAAGACGCACATGCAGCTTTGGAAACGGAGGGATGTCGAGCATAAAAACAAACAAACAAAAAAACAAAATAAAACAATACGAAATAATAACAAATAATTTTGAGAACATGTATTTCCGGAACGTGCTCAGAAGGGTTAGATTTTTTTTGAGGGGGGGGGTGTGTATATTCAGCGACATAAAAAGGAATTTTTATGACAGCAGGAGGGAAAGGGAAGTGTGTCGTTTAACCCCTCAGTGCGAGGCCAAGAGTTTGCGAGGGGAGAGGGAGAGAGAGAGAGAGGGGGGGGGGTCACTTCCCGGATATAAAATAAAAACCGCAAAATCACCAATAACAATCGTTATTCCGAGAGCCGCGGGCGACGTCAAGATACTGTCCCGAAAGGACGAGCGTATTTTGGGGGAGTTTCCCCGAAGGCGTAACGGGCCGTCCATTTGCAGCTATTTCTTGATTTTGGGCGTCTTCGCGGATAATTGAGCAGCGCCAGAAAAGGTGGCTTTTGGCGGACGAGGGGAAAAGTTCAGGGTTCCCCCTCGGCCCTCGGTCCGCCGGTGCCAAGTGAGCGGGGATTTGGAACTGAAAGAGGCTGTGTGCGATTTCAGCTCGGCTCGGCGGGAATCAGGTCTGCCGACCGCACCTGATCCACAGCCCCGGCCTGCCGTGGCTGGACCCGGGCAAGGCCGCCCTGTCCGCCGCCGCCGCCGCCGCCCACCACCACCACCACCACCATAACGCGTGGGCGGTAGGCCACTTCAGCAAAGCCGGCCTGCACGCCACTAGCTCGGGCTACTCCTGCGGCGGCGGCGGCCCTGGCGCCGGCGCGGCTCCGGTGTCTTCGCTCGCGCCGGCGACCCACTCCAGCCCGCACCTCTACAGTTTCCCCCCGACGCCGCCCAAAGACGTGTCGCCGGACCCCGGGCCCACCTCACCCACCTCCGCGTCGATCCGCATGGACGAGAAGGAGCCCCCCCTCAAGTACCCGGCGTCGCTGGCGGACGGCATGAAGATGGAGAGCTGCAGCCCGCTGCGCGGCGGCCTGGGCTCGGTGAACGGCGGGCCGGGCCCCGCCACGCACCACCCCATCCCCACGTACCCGGCCTACCCCGCTCTGCACGCGGCGGCCCACGACTACGGCGGCGGCCTCTTCCACGCCGGGAGCCTGCTGGGCTCGTCGGCCGGTTTCGCTCCCAAATGCAAAAGCAAAGCCCGCTCGAGCTCAGGTGAGTCTCTTGGCAACGCGCAGCTCCTTTTCCGCACACACACACACACACGAAGAAAAATACCCTCGCGTCGCGTACAATTGTACGAATTGGTCCTTCCAAACACAAATTTTTCAAGGGAACGTTGTCGAAATATCGAGAATTTTTCCCCGGCACGCACCTTGCTCGGAAATAATATTTCAAGTCCAGAACAACCTCGTGCAGTTGATCTTTTTCACCGTGAAATGTGATTAATTAAGCACGCACACACAAGCGCAGATCCTTTTTAAAGTCTGACACCAAGCAGTAGAAATAATCAGACCCGTGCATTTACGGGGCTACTAATTCAAGTAGCACATTTTCAAGAAATTGCATTTTTTATTCCACTGGAATATTCAAGCAAAGAATGTTTTTGAAAATGATTTCCAGCACTCCCGACTCAGAGGTTGATGCGTTTTTTTTTCTCACGCGAACAAGTAGGAAGAGCAAGCGTCCCGTGGACCAGAATATTCGCTCGCGTCCAACGCAACGACTCTCGTGGACCTCCGCGAGCTTGTTTTCTTGCCCCTGATTACAGGGGTGGGGGGGGCGTCACGACGCGCTGGCTCCCGCCGCATCCCGCGTCGCTGCGAGTGAACAAATCCCGACCTTCACCCCTCCCCGCGCTCACAAAGAGCAGGCAGGCAGGCAGGCGGGCGACAGAGCCCCCGCTGCTTGCGCTTTTAAGTCGGGCCTTGGTGGACGAAACGCGCAGGCGAGCGAGACCGCTGCATGCAGGCCGGCGGCCTGGTTTCCTTTTTCGGGATCACACAGTCACGACGTTCTTGCATTTTTTTTTCGAGGGCGGGAGGGGG